CATCTGAGCCATTGATGTCTTTGAACACCATCTGCAAAGACTTCCCTGACTTTGTGTGTGTGACTAAAGACCAGAATTTTTTTTCTTACTGCTTTGAAAGCTGAGACATCCAAGAACAAGGACGAGCAGATTCACTTTGTGAGGAGGACCTGACCTCAGCTTCCCAGTTGGCACCTTATTGCTGTATCACCTGGAATAGAGGAGGAACACAAATATTCATGTGGTAGAAGGCAGAAGGGCAAGCCCGGCAAGCTTCCTCTGTCAAGCTTTTTTATAAGAGCGCCTGATGTCATTCATGGGGGCAAAGCCCTTGTGGCTTAACCACCTCTTAAAAGCTTTACCTCCTAATACTTTCACACTGGCAATACATTCATTTTAGAGGGGACACAAACCACAGCAATGCCTAATTTCCTGGTTCTCCTTCCTCAAGCCTACCCCTTTCCACTATTTCCTGTAAGGATAGAGGGCAACTCTTTTTTGTACTTAGTTATTTAAACCACAAATGTTGGAGTCCTTCTTGACTTTGTCTCCCTACACTTATGTCCACATTCTATTTAATCTTTCTTCAAATTATATTTCCAGTACAACCCCATCTCTCCACCAGCCATCTCTTGCAAAAGTCCTTCACCTCTAGATAAACTCTTGCCCCTCTCACCACCGGTCTCCATGCCACCATCTGTGTCCCCTGTGACACCCAAGATGAATCTTTTAAAATGTCAAGTTACTTTTCTTCTGCAAAACTTCCATGGGCATATTGTCTTCTTCACTTTAATAAAACACATCACCTTACAGGAGCCATACACTATTTCCCTCCATCTGTATACAGCCTGACCCCTTGCCCTGGCTTACTTTTCCATCCCCTTACCTACCTTCCAGACATGCTCTGTCCTCAGGGATGAAGTGCTCCTCTCCACCCATCATCAAGCTTTCCCTTCACCCAGGTTTCTGTATAAAGCTCATCTTGCTGCCTGTAGAACCTTCTCTGTCCTCCATAGACAAAATAATACCAGTGACCCATTGGCTGTAGATTTCTCCTCATTGTACATTCACACCTAATGCATTTTTTGTTTGTTTTACCCACTGATAGAGACTCAATGAAACAAGGTCTCTTTCGGTTAGTTTACATCGCTTTCACAAGGGGCTCCAAGCTGTGTGTAGTACAGAGTTCAGTATAGAATTCAGTGGTGCCTGATTGGATCATTCTACTAGATTTTGCTCTGTTATCCATTCCATTAATTAAGTTCATTAATTCTGTTGGGTGTAAGAATCACTGGGGAGCTTGCCTAAATATTCATCTTTTGGCCTCATCACCTAGGGATAGAAATGCAGTAGATTCTGGATGGACTCTAGAACGTTTCTTAGCGAGTTCCCCAGGTGGCTTTGTTGGACAGTGGAAGCACACTTAGCAAAGCACTGTGTCATGGTACCCGGTTACAGTTGTTTCTCTGTTGCTCCACTTCCCGAGTGTTGTTTCATGTATGTCAGCAGTGTGTGAATCACCTGGGAGCCTAAATAGAGATCCCAGCCCCACCTCAGACCTTGTGAATCAGAACTTCCAGGATGAGTCCTAGGAATCTATACTTTTAAAAATCTCCCTTGGTTCCTCTGATGCAGCATGTCTCCTCCTAGCCTTTGAGAGGCCCAGCTGGTCTTACAGATCCTGAGGTGTTCATAAGCTTAAGAGCAAGTGGGTATTTTCTTTGTTCTTTCAAGCTAGTTTCTTTCTACCTGTCCTCTGTTGTTCAAAACTGGTGTTCAGTAAGTCACTGAGGAATGAACTCTGAGGCTAATCCAGTTTCCAGCTGCTTTTCTAACTTGAACATCAGCCATTATTTACAAGGACATTTTAGATCAGTTTGTTGTCTGATTGGAGGCAGGAAATGTTGGCTTAGAAGCCTAGCTGTCCTCCTTTCTCTCCAAGAATCTATCGTTCCCTAGGTCAGAGGCAACAACATGGCCTCTGTCACTTATCATCATACTCCCACACTCCCCTTGGAGCTATGTTGGGGAAACATGCTTGGACTGGCTTCAGACTTGAGGTGCAGTCACTGGTCTCCAGAGCATCCACAGAGATAATGAAAAGACTTGACCCTTTAGCTCTGAGGCTTGCCTGGACCGTACACGTTGCTAAGGCAGGGTTTATCTCCCTGGGTTAGACTTCTGGTGCCAATCGTCTTGTCCTACTTCTGTTTTGATAATTTCTTCAATAGAAAAATTTAAATCAAAAACAAAAAAATTTAAAAAAAAAAAAAAAGAAAAATTTAAATTTAGAATCCTTAAAGTATTACCAAATGCTAAAACTAAATAAAGGACATAGTGGGGATTAGACAAGTGACCAGGAATAGAGTATCCCAAGGAATAGTATTTGCAGGATTTATATCTTGGACTAGACTCAGAGCTTGTTTCCATGTTGTAAAGAATCTCTTGGGTTAGTCCACTTCTTATGTACCTGACCTCCATGCCATGTTCAGTCTGAACTTTAGCGCGCCAGATGGTAGCCTCTTTGAATATGTTGGGTTTGTCTGTGTTCCTTGCAGAATGTCATCTCATATATAATCTGAAAGTCCTGGTGTCCTCCTTGCGTGTCCTGGAGGCAGTGCAGCCTCCTGTGTGCTCCACGGATTTGTGCCTTGCAGTTTTGCCTCAGGATAAGCCACAGATCTCATTGTTTATGCCAAATGAGGAAAGCAGAAATAATCAGGACAAAAATTCCTTTGAGAAACTGTACTCCCAGGTGATAGCTGCTTCTTTAAGAATCCTGGGGAGAGGGGGACCACACTAAACCAGAAGCTGTGCTTTAGTAACAACGGAAGTGAACTGACCCCAGAAATGTATGAACAGGAGATTTCTAATGAGACCTGACAGTTCAAGGGCTCCGGGAGAAGGAGACTAATCTTTTTGTTCCCTGCCCACCCAGTCTTCATACAAATGTAAATATGCCTCCTACAACAAATTGCCAAATGTGGTTTTCATTTGTAAACAAGAGACTAGCCTTGCCTTCTCCCCCCTCCCCCCTGCCCTGCCCCTTTTGAAAAGTCACTTTTTGAACTGGACATCTCCTCCTGTCATTTTTCCCCCAGTGATATTTCCCCCTACTGTTGTCAAAGAACTTTGGGATGAGATGCCGTATTTCTTAAAGAAGGTTTTGAAGTTCCCAGAGGAAATACATTGCTCTTTAAACTGAATTTTAAAAATAACTAAGGCAGTGATCAAATCCATGCTGAGATTTGAAGAGCATGCCACTGTCTCCGTGTCCTACTCTATGTGGTGTATACAGAATGCATTGTTGTTATTTATGACCCTGTCTGCCTTCCACTGTGGACTTCTTCCAGCCTTGGGGAGTTTACATCATTCCTACTAGCAAAAGGCTTTCTGGTTCCCACAGAGTTGTTCAAAGCCTGACTCATGCTCCTTATGTTAATTGTTCAGCTCTGAAAATACAGCACTTACAGGGTGTGGCAGTGAGGGGAAAATCTACTGTACTTACAGGGCATGTTTAGAAGTGTTTCACACATAAATCTCATCCCTCCTAATCTCTCTCAACTACATCATTCCTACTAGCAAAAGGCTTTCTGGTTCCCACAGAGTTGTTCAAAGCCTGACTCATGCTCCTTATGTTAATTGTTCAGCTCTGAAAATACAGCACTTACAGGGTGTGGCAGTGAGGGGAAAATCTACTGTACTTACAGGGCATGTTTAGAAGTGTTTCACACATAAATCTCATCCCTCCTAATCTCTCTCAACCTCTCTCATTTTCTCTCTCTCTCTCTCTCTCTCTCTCTCTCTCTCTCTCTCTCTCTCTACTTCTCTCTCTCTCTCTCTCTCTCTCTCTCTCTCTCTCTCTCTCTCAACTTAACTTTTGAATGTTCTTCCTTTTGGGTCCATTAATTAATTTTAGGAAACAACAAACCAAAAGAATGACACATCAGAATGTAGTAAAATCCAATAAAGCCTTTAAACACTCTGTTCACTGACTATTAAAACGAACTTGGGTTACAACTGAATATGGCTTTGAGAGATTCTGGCCTAGGTCTGGAGCCATAGGCACTGCTCAGAACCTCAAGACTCCTCCTAACTTTGTGGCATGAGCACTGATTGGATGGAGCTTATCACATCTGCAGGGAGGAATACACTGGCATCATACTGATGGCCACCAGCCACCAGAATCTCAGGGGCTATCACTGTTCATTCTCATGTATGCTGAAGTAAAGCAAAGGCCTACTGATATCTACCAGGCTGTTGCTTGTGGTAGCAACATTTGCAAGAATTTAATGGGGAAAAATACTTAGTATCCCAGAAAACAAGAGCAGATAACAACTAATCTGGATTATCAGCTTGCTCATCAAAAGGGAGAGATTTCAAAAGCATTGCATGGGTCAGTATTGGCAGACATTGGCAGACTTTTAAAGTCCATAGTTACCTCCTTGTGAAGCTTCCTGGGCGCATTTTAAAGACCATGTATAAACCACAGCAGTGACTGCCATAGGAACCAGAGACTCCCAGGCTTTTAGTAGCCAGGACTGACTAACTTACATCTCTCAAAGTAACAAGATTGAAAGATTTAACTCGATATTGTCTTAAGGCTGACAAAAGCCATATTTCTGGTTTTGTAGGTTAAAGGGATTGTGGGAAAAACTTGGAATCACCATGCTGCTGGCCAAGACCTTCTCACAAACTCAGGGAGTCCATACTTTGGGGGCACAGCGATACCAGGTGTTGGCCAAGTGTCCCCAGATGGCTTAGAACTGGCATATTTCACATTATTGTCTTGTATGTTTGTGGTGCGTACTAATGTGTGGATTGTGTAAACTTGAGAATCAAAAAAAGTTGTAACATAACAGAAAGTCTCCACTGAAAAAAGTTAAAATAGCCTAAAACAGTAATCTGTTTCATTTACTATTTACAGAAATAAAGCTGTTCTGATCATTCAGAGTGTAGCTGTTTTCTCTCATGATCAGCTAATAGATTTCTGGCTGAACCTTTATTATCTTTTGGATTAGACAGAAAGATCTTTCCATGGAGTGTCGGATTATTTTGCTGAGTATGCAGAGAGTCCACTTCCTCCTGGTACAAAACTCAAGAGAAATGCTCTGAAAGAAATGTAGGTCCAGCATGTTTCTTTTTTCTCATTTTTGGCTGCCTGTATGGATGCTTGTCTCATCAGAAGTCTAGGGTTTAACAAGAGTGTATGGAACATGATCACAAAGCCCCTCCGCCATTGGTCTTGCTCCCAACCATTTATTACTATTTGGCCTTCCCACCTTCCTGTTTCTCTTGCTTTCTGGACAGTGGGAATAGAGTCCTTGCTTCACAAGTGTGTTGCAAGAAGTAATTAATTACAAGGTCTTTGAAGATGAAAAGCGCCTGCTGGTGGTATGTTTCTTACAGCTCTTGGGGCAAATACAGACAGAGCTAAAAATGCATTCCTTTTGTAAGATGCTTGCTCTGACCTTAAAATAATTATGATAATCCTTGTGCCCCTAACAGCAACATCAAGAATATATAAGAATATATATGTATATATTCATATACATATATTATATATACACACACAAAGCTTAGTCAAAGTAAATATTCCAGCTTCAGGGCTTTGAGTTTGGTGGTCATGCCAAAGTTAAGGTGTTTAGAGGCAGAAGCAGGAGGATCTTTGTGAGATCGAGGCCACCCTGGTCTCCATAGTGAGTTTCAGGCTAGCTGGAGCTACAGGAAGACCCTGTCTGAAAAAGACAAAAAGAAAGTGAAAGTCTTTAGTCTCTCAATGTTTTTAAAAGAAACTTTGTGGATTTTTTAAAGTTTTTGTTGTTGCTGTTGTTTAATGTGTATGAGTGTTTTACCTGCATATATGTTAGTGCATCCTGGCATGCAGTGCCTGTGGAGGCCAGAAGATGGTATCAGATCCTCTGGAACTAGAGTTACAGGCAGTTGTAAGCTGCAGTGTGGGTGCTGGGAACCAACCCCTGGTCTTCTGTGAGAGAAACCAGTACTCTTCAGTCCCTAGTCTCTCAATTTTCCTATGCAGTTTTTGTCCTGCCCTTTGAAATTTGTTTTACCTTAGCTATGTGTCCTGTAGAAAACAGAGATGGTGACTGATTGATAGATAGATAGATAGATAGATAGATAGATAGACAGACAGACAGACAGACAGACAGATAGGTAGGTAGGTAGGTAGGTAAAGATAGCTAGATCGTTTGCCATGGCTGTACCTTTTTTAATGTTAGCTGTCTGAAGTTTTGTTCCCAAGACTTAACAAGTCCCATTAACTGGGGCCTGCACTGGGGCCAGCTGAGTGATGCCTTGAAATGTGATGAGAAAATTTTCAGATTATTCTCTCACAAAGACGAATTGGGTGCGTGCTTGTGCATGTGTGTGCATGTATACACACAGCCTGGGCTTTTTCTAGCAGGAGCAGCTCCTGATAGAAAAAGTCAATATATCAACCATAGGCAGTGTTTGTTTCTGATACTGAAAAATGAATGCCTGTTTGCTTTAGTTAAAATGTGAGCTCCAGCATAACTCCATGGATGACCCAGTGATCAAAATTTAGAACTTACCTTAGTTTAGTGGAGAACATGAAGGCTATTGCTTAATTCATTCTGTATTTAGCATACACTTGGGGATTTTTCTAAATCCCCGGGGTGTTGAAGAGAAGGCAGTTGACACTCGCCCTGTTATTCATGTGTAACAAATGTGGGAAGGGGGACTTGGAAGACTCTGTGCCATTGCCAACTTCACATGACATAAAATCTTTGTATGTTTTAGTGTGAGAAGAACTGAAACAAAAAGCAGCACAGTGAGCAAATCACAGACCAGCAGGAACCTTGTGGGAATGTCTAGTGACTCAGTCATTCCCGTGGTACTGAGGAAGAGGGATGCCTCAGTCAGTCCCCCATCAGAATCTACAGGTCAAGCGCAGGATTACATAAATGCAGCCCAGAGCCACCAGGGGCTTCCTGTTCAAAAGCTGGAAAATATTAATCAGGCCCAGCCAGAAGATACGAGCAGCCAGCAAAAACCTCGTCCTGGGGAGTGGTTGAAGACAGGGCTTCTAAGCAGGAGCCCTGCCTGTAGCTGTGAGTCAGCATCACCAGGCCCAAAGCAAAGTCCATGAACAGCTAAAACACAACAGAAACGCCGGAACTGGGGCTCTGCAGAAGACTCTGACCACCACCAGAGAGTTTCTCTTGGAAGCGATCGATTAGTCCCAGGAGAAATGATAGTGGACGAGAGCACAGCTGTCCATGTTTTGCCAGCTTTAGAGCTGTCAGATCCGGGGTTACTTTTGAAACGAGATTTGGCAAAAACCACGTCTAAGGAAGAACTGCATGTTTTGGAAAATCTCTCCTCCAGACATCTTATGAAAAATAACCCAAGGCAGGCAAAGCAAACCGGCTCGGCCACAATTGCTAAAAGATTAGGTACAATTCAGGGCAGCCCAACCAAGAAAAGAAAGAAATTGCCAAGGACTGCAGAGTCGTAGCTGAGGATGTAGAGACCAGATCTGTGACAAGAAAACTGAGTGTGTAGTTCCTGGAATTTAAGTGGAATGAAGGTGATTATTTTAAATTAAAAAATATATGTCTGTGTCGGATTATCCTTCCTAGTTATCTCCAGGAGGCTGTTTATTCTAACAGCCTTACTACTTTCTCATTACGCTTTAGAACTATCTTCAGAGATTATTTTACTGATAAAGAGCCCTCTACCTGTCAGGGAGGAGATGGTGTATGCAGGACCACGTGAAGAAATTAGTCATGTTCCGCCCCTCCAACTTGTCACTGGGAAGACCTTGTAATAGGACACTTGCAGACAGTACCATTGTTGCAGTCTGGTTCTAGTGATGCAGTCGGTTCTCTTGCCCTGTATACTCATTATAGAACAGTGAAAGCAGGCTAGTGCTTCTCAGCTTCTATAACCAGCATCACTGTGAAGAATGCAGCTATTGGGGACTCAGATCCACTGAACGAGGAACTGGCCCAGAACTTGTGACAATCCTCCCTCTTCTACTGGGATTACAGGCATTAGCCAGCACCCCTAACTAGGACTCCAGAGCCTAGCTTCCATTTTGCTGTGATTATTGTGTTGTTGTAGAAAAATATGAAAACATAACTGTGATTGTGAAATAACTAAGGTTTAAGAAGACTCCTTAGGACTCATTTCCTCTAGCCTGATTACCATGCATCTGCTGGGCCACATGTGGACATGTACACCCTTGTGCTCCCTCAGACTTATAAAACACCTGGGTCTTGTGTGGGAGTCATTTTGGTTCCCAGGTTCTAGAGTAGGACAGCCATAGCACCTAGGGAGCTGTTATTTACACTTATAATTGCCAGAAATTTACAGATAATTCATCCTAGAATTAGGGGAAGACATGGGAAAGGCTTGTTCTGTGTAGCTCAGGCCTGACCCTGTGTCTGCCCTTGTCCCCACCTCCAATCATTTGGTTAGGTTTAGCGCAGACCAGAACCCAAGGGAAACACAATGGCCAATTTCCAATTTGGAAGAGTTCACAGGGCTTTTAAATTTCCTCTTTGATTGCATATCCTAGTCTCAAGAAAAATAAGCCTAAAATGTCAACCTGAAAGTTTCATCTGGACCTTACTCATCCACTATAAGATGAAAGTTTTAATTCTGAAAATTTTGAGCTGTTTCTGTAGGAAAAGGTTGCAGTCAATAGGAAAATAGGAAACCTCAGGAATATTGTTCACATTGAACCTTTCAAGAATAAAATTGTGGATTATATCTAAGAAGCTGTTCTTTTAAAGGTACTTGAAGTATCTTAAGAACAACCTTCATAGTTGGCTTCTTGTGGCTTCACCTGACAAGGAGATACAGGAACTTTCTTGCTTCCAGATTAATCAAGGTGATGGTCAATCGGAATCTGAGGACTGGTTGAAGCCTCTCTTTATAGGCTATGGTTACCAAGTTTTAAAATCCATCATAAGTATCATCTTAAGTAGGAAAGGAATCTCAATCAAGAGCTACCCATCCAATATGTTTTCTGTTCTCACCATCAAATGGCCTTTTGAGGTAACGTCTACCCTGAATAATAAGGAAAATCAAGTGTATTCTTCAAAATATTGAATTAGCAGAAAAAGAGCCCAGAGAAAGTCCAGCAAAATAAAAGAATATGGGAACAAGCAGAGTATGTGCTGGTGCTTGGATGAATCAGTGGTTTTTCCCACCTCAGCTGGCCTTCCCACATCCCTTTCCCCACTTGTATTATCAGGGTCATGTTCACTAAGCCTGAACATGGATGTAGATGCTACTGCTCTGGAGACTGTTCCAAATCCCTGCCTGGAAACCTGTCCTCATCCAGTCATCCCATCCCACCACCACCACTACAAACAGTTCTGCTCATGATGCCCTTTTCCCTTCCTGCCTAGCTTTTTTACCTGATGAGAACTTATTCCGTCAGAGAATTGTACAGGTGAAGAGGGAACCCAACTCAATGACAGAGTTGATTCAACACATACAGTAGGGGTAGACTCCTTATAATACAAACCTCAGAGAGCATGGTCGAACTTGATAATGGGCCTTCTTTCTTAGAGTACCCAGCATTTTAAGTGTGCTGTTTACTGAAGACAGGCCCGTTTTGTAACAGCCCATTGAATCCTCAGTGAGGGCACAAATAACCCAGACTGTGCACCAAGAAATAGCTCACTGGGAAAAGAACAATGGCTGTTGCCTGTTCCAGAACTAAGACAATTTGATCTGGAATTGACAGAAGATTTTCATCATTTAATGGTTAAAGTAGTACTTGTATTTAATTGTTCTTATACTAAGTTATTTGCTTTTAAGAAATGTTTAGGCTTTAGAATTTGTTATTTCGTAGGAATTAATGATTACTGTGATCCAAGAGAAAAAAAAAAAACATGTTTGGATTATAGATGTGGTCTTTCTCATGGCCTTCATGCACAGTGTATTTTAACAGGATTAACGGGGAATGGCTTTGGACTCCCACACTATGGCATATATTTAAGGAATTTTGCCTCTAAGCATTTTCCTTCCACATGTCCAAAAGAGCCCTACATCTCTTGTTACTTCAGTGGTTGTGTGATTCTTTGGATATTTGGACCAAAGAGAAAATGAATGTAATTATTTGTTGTTGCTTATTAAGTGAGGTATTAAAGGTTTTCCGTTGGGAATGATAG